TTGGGCCAGTGGGGCGGCGTCCTCCACAGCTGGACTGAGGAGCAAGACAGCAGCGGCTTGTCTGTTCCCCTTCCCCTAATTCCCCAGCCCTGTTCCCATCCCCCAATTGCCCAATAAAAATCTTAAAAAAAAAAAAAGACTGCATTATGAGCTGCTGTGGGGAGTAGTCCTAAGGGGAAGTAGGATTGGCTAGAGCCTGGGGCTGCATGGTTAGGTGATCAGCTGGCAGAACCCGTTCAGTTCAAGGGTGGACGGCAGTGGGATGATGGAAGGTTTGTGTGGGAAAGCTGTATGTGCACAGTAGGGGCATATGGTTATTCTTGGAACGCGACACTGTGAAAATGCTCCCGTGCTGACGCCGGGAGTCCCGGGACTCAGGCCCCCACTTCCAGAAGCGCGGGGTGGGGGTGGGGGTGCTTCAGCAGAATTTCCTGCTGTGCCCTCTCTCCCTCCCTTGTTCTCCCTGTCCCCTCTCCCCCACCCCCAAATTTACCCAACATCACTTTTTCTCCCAAGCGGCCTCTTTTTGGTCCTTCTTCTTCCCAGGATGGCGACAATCGGCCCCTTAAGCCACCAAAGCAGAAACGAGCCCAGAGAGGACTGAGGAGGGGGCGGCGACGCACCTGGCGGGAAGGTTCGCGAACCCCTGTGGGCACCGCGTCCCCATCTCTGGTCTTAATGACCCCCACCTCCTCCTGCCTCCCTCCTATCCCATTATCCCAACGCCCCTCTGCATGTTTCATCCCAACTCACCGCCGTGCGCCCAGAGACAGTGCGCTGCCCAGGTACAGTCCCACAGCAGAAGCAGGACCAGGAGAACAAGACTGAACTGAGAGCCCGCACGCACCATCACGACCGGGAGCCAGAGTGCGAAACAGCTGAGACCGGGAGGCGAGTCCGCTGAAAGCAGAGAAAGTGTTCTTTCCGTCTTCTTTTCCCCGGAGCCGGTTTTCGCTCTACACGCAAGGAGCGAGACCTCTACAGGCTACTTGGAGGGAAGTGCAAACCAAGAGGGCGGGAGAAGGGGTGGAATAGGCTGGCATCGTAACTTCTGAAGCAACTTTGGGCGTGGCTTCCTGGCCCCGCCTCTCCTCTTTGCGCCTGCGTCCGCCCCGCCCTCCCTGCAAAGTTCGGCTACTTAAGTGTGGCCTGTGAGGCTGCATTTCCATCCGCGGCCGCTTCCGCCACACCTTTACTGAGTGCCTCGACCTCGCGCTCCACTCTGACACCACTAGCACCACCACCACCACCACCACCACCACCTCCCCTCCTTCCCTGCTACCACCCCACTTGTGAGGAAATGAGAGCCCAAACTATTGGGAACCGAGGAGTCAGGACAGGGGGATTCCCCCAGCGTCTCAATCCAGTCACCCACAAACAACCCCTTTGCCTACTCTGCTCAAATGACTTTCCCACACAAACCCTCCAGCATCCCCACAGCCCCCCACCCTTGAACTTCCCCCACAGGCTCTGCCAGCTCATTCTAACCTGCAGCCCCAGGGGTTCACTTCACCAGGCACATCTCAGCCACTTCCCTCACCCCTCGCTGCTCCCCACCTCAGCTCAAATAAAATAAAGACATGTCTGTTGTGATTTAAAAAAAAAAAGAAAGAATATACAATTCACAATGTTCAAGCAATCGAATCAAAAAATTTCTGAACATGCTAAAAAGCAAGAAAATGTGATCCATAATCAGGAGAAAAATAAGCCAAGTGAAACTGACTGAGAAGAGGCAAAAGCTGCTCCCAGGCAGCTAGAACTCTCCAGTGTAGCCTCCACTGGGCAGGACATTTTCACATACCTTATTATGTCATTTAAAACACAAGTCCTCTCGATCTTACCCGATCTAAGCTGAAGGCCTCTCTTCATGCTGTAGAGATAACTCATCAGGTCCCCATAATTGGCTGTGTTCAGATTTCTGGTTGTGTATGTGGAAATCTGAGTGAATGTGGCTACTGATTTTTATATTTTTCAACCGCACTGCCCACCCTTTGCTACTCAAGTACAGCATCTCGGGAACCTAAAGTGGAATAATCAGGGACGTTGAAGGTGAAGGACTGATGATGGTGTCTGGTGGTTCATTTGAGCTAGTGCGTGTGTCGGGACCAGTCCCTGAAATCACAAGGATTTGTGAGAGCCCGGTTCCCCAAGAGCTCATGCCCCCTTTGAACTGACACCCTGAGCAGGCCTGGCTTGTTATAAAGGACAGTTGGCTTTGATATAAACCCTGTCCAAACTGGAAGGGCCGCTGGCGAAGAACCACACACAGCCCAGCACTCCAGGAGTTAACTCGCTCTCAAGGGTTACTTGCTTTCCCCGCCTGAAGCAGAGGGTGGGGCGGAGGGCGGAGCCTCGAGCGGAGGGCGGGCCTGGGCGGGGCTTGACGCGCCTCCGCCCGCCCCGACAGCTGTTCTCAGCCTCAATCCCGGTGCTGATCTTCTAGGAAACCGCCTTGTGAGCACGGAGCGCGCCCCGGGTCCCCGCAGAGAAGCGCGGGCGCGCTGGGAAGCCCCCGGAAAGGACCAGGAGCAGTGACAGGCCATGCCTCCCGCTGCTGCAGTTTCTGTCCTCGACCGCGAGCCCGCGGCTCTGGGGGCGCAGCCAGGCCCCGGAGAGACAGCATTTTGAGGCGCCAGGGCCTCCGCCTGCCGCGACCGCGCAGGAGGGGCACAGGGCCCAAGCTCGCCTGCAGTCCTTGCTTTCTGCGGCCCCGCCTCGGCTCGCTTCATCAGCTGCCGGCCGCCATGGCTTTCGCAGCCCGGGAGAGCCCGACGCTGCGCGGGCTGCTGTTGCTTTGCCTGTGGCTGCCGAGCGGCCGCGCCTACGCACCGCCATCCCAGCCGCTGTCAGAGCTGCACTCGCAGCTCTCGGGCGTGGAGCAGCTGCTGGAGGAGTTCCGCCGGCAGCTGCAGCAAGAGCGGCCGCAGGAGCTAGAGCTGGAGCTGCGCGCCAGCGGCGGGCCACAGCAGGGCTGCCCGGGCCCGGGCGGCGGCGGCTACAGCACCATGCCGGACGCCATCATCCGCACCAAGGACTCCATCGCGGCAGGCGCCAGCTTCCTGAGGGCGCCGGCAGACGTGCGGGACTGGCGACAGTGCGTGGCGGCCTGCTGCTCCGAGCCGCGCTGCTCCGTGGCTGTGGTGGAGCTGCCCCGGTGGCCCGCGACCTCGGCCACCGCGCTTGGCTGCTACCTCTTCAACTGCACCGTACGCGGCCGCAGAGTCTGCAAGTTCGCGATGCATCGCGGCTACAGCAGCTACAGCCTCAGCCGCACCCCGGAGGGCGGGCAGCAAGGCCTAGAAGCTGGCTTCGGGGCCACCGCTCGGGCCTCGCCTCGGCTGGGTAAGCATGCCACTGAAGGCCGCCGGGGTCAGAACGCTTGGGTTGCTGTCCTTGCACCTGATGGGTGTCTGCATCTATAAGACGCCCCACACACACACACACACATACTTCCCCACCCCCGCAGGACCGCTGTGCTCTCCTCAGCTAAGTCGGAAACGAAACACCCTTGTTCAAAGTTATCTTAGTTGCGTGCATCCAGAAGAGTGGCTTTCATTTCCTAATCTTAGGGTTAGTTTTTGGGGGGGAAAAAAAAAAGTCCCTGTAGATTGAGCAGAAGCAGGCCTACTGGGCCTGCAATTTTTCTAGTCTTGGGGATAGAGGCTGATGTGAGAGGATTCATGGACATTCAAAAAATTCAAAGCAACAAATAACGTTTATTTTAGTCTCATGTTTTTATAAGACAAGATTTGTGTCAAGTAATTGCCAAGAGCAAAATGTAATTACTTCCCAATCAGATTGCTCATAACACACCTTTTCTTAGCTTGGCTCCCAACCCCTGATTCCACCTACTGTTGCTTTCATCAGACACAAATGGGAAAGAACATGTGTCAGCTATTTTTGAAGTGACTCCAACTGATTTCCATTAACTGTTTCCCTTTCACAGAATGAAAAGAAGGGACTTGATTTTAGTTGAAAATAAGAAAGTTTAAGGCACATCCCTTTTTAAAAAGAGCTAAAGATGATGCTTTTCATCTGATGGTTTTACTTTCTGCAGATGTTCAGAATGAGAATCAAGAGACGTAAGAGGAGGCACAAAAATTTGTAGCAATTGGAGATTGAGATCACTGAGGGAATAAAATCTTGATTGGGCCTGCTTGTGGTCAGCTCAGTATGTTTGATCTCACCGTATTGCTGTTTGACTTATGATAACAAGAATGATGTCATAGCAAGATTAGAGGGAGTAGCCTCAGCCAGTTCAGAAATCTGGAGTGTCCATGACCTTCAGTTCCAATGAGAAGGGTCTGGAAATCTGTGTGCGCAATGCCTACCCATCTCCATCCAAGCAGAGGCACAGAATCTCAGAGGAGCAGACATCAAAGGTCACCCAGTGACTGCCTCAGCTTGGAGGGAGACACTGGGAAGGACCCCAAAGTTTTCTCAGTGAAGTGAGGGCAGGAGGCACTTTTACTTGGATCCCACCAGCATCCCTGAGCCTGCCCCATGGCTGTTACACATACATCGTTCCTCACTGTCGAAACACAGACCCAGCAGCAAAAACACCCCAAACCCTTTCCCTCAATCGCAGTGCACACCGACATTGCCAAAGGGAGCTTTCCTATAAGCCACGGGAAACCAAAATAAACAAAGACAAAGCATGCCCGTGGAAATTTTTTAAAAGTTTAGTTTACTAATAGAAGTTTCCAAGTCATTTCTTCTTTTATTTCTTTGCCCTAGGAGTTTGTCATGGAATTCAGTTTTGTAGATGTTTAGGGATGAAAATAGGTGACCCCTTGGGTTGGTCCTCATTCTGGAAAAACACTGCCATGCTCACACTTCTTCAATGCCCAGCAACATGGAAATGTGAAAGGGTGCAGCTCAGGCCAGAGGCACCCTCATTCCTCTCTACAGGTAGGGCAAAGGTGACCCTATCCAAAAATCCTGTGTTTTCCCTGCCCAGATGCTTCACCTTATCAAGTTCTTTATGCTTCTGAGACTACTAAGTTTTTTCTTCTTGAATATTTTTTTTCCTGTGGAGCTGGAGGCTAAAGGAGTGCAG